TAAAAAAAAAAAAAAAAAAAAAAAAAAAAGGAAAAATATATAAATGAAATAAAAATTATAACAAATAAACTATATAAAATACTATGAATGAAAACTATTATTAATAATATTCTTAAAGATATAATGTAGACATAAGGAAAAAAAATTATGCTATATATATATATTAAAAAATATTAACAATACATAATATTATATAAATATATAATAAAAAATGAAAAAACGAAAAAATTATTTTTATTTTTTCAAAAATTACTTCATTTGATAAATCATTTCCCTGAATACCTTTTCAGCAACGTTCATTTCATTTTCTTCAATAGATTTATAAAATTTATGAAAACATAATAGCATTTCATCATCTAAAATTATTAAGAAAAATAAAATATATAAATAAATTAATATAAATTTATTAATTTTTTTACAACAAATTATTCATATATTTTTGTTTTTTAAGTTATTAATTCTCAATTTATTATACCTCCGTATTCTTTCAATTCTCTTTCTAAAATATTTAAAAACTTTTGTTTTTCCATTTTGCTTATTATTCTAATTTTTAATGATTTATTTTTTTTTTTTTAATACATAAAAATATTCTGAAAGTATTATATTTTTAAAATAATTGTTCATAACAGTTTATGAATAAATAATTTATTAAAGAAAAAAAAAAAAGAATTAATAAAAAAAAATATAATAAAATATATAATACAAGTATATATATTAAAAATTATGAATATTTTTACATTTTTTTAAAAAATTTCATCTATATTAAGAGAACATTCATATAAAGATAAACAAAATAAATTGTAAAAAATAAATGATATTATATATATAAATGAAGAGATGAAAATACATATTCATAAATAAGTAGGAAATACATACATAAAATATTATATGTTTATTTAAATTTTTTTTTTTTTTTTTTTTATCTAAAAACATATATTTTTAATGCAATCTAAAAAAAAAATATTTCTCCATAAAGAAAAATAATTTTTTTTTTTTGAATTACTATTGTAACTATAATTAATTATATATAGCTTCGTAATTCAATTTACAATAAAGAATTTAAACCATGATAAAAAATAAAATGCCATATATAAGTCTTGATTAAAAATAAAATTCAAAAAATGAAGATCTTCATTAAATATAAAATTCAAAATATTTTAAAACCTCTATGTCTTAAAGAAAAAAAAAAAAAAAAAAAAAAATTATTATTTTAAACTTAATGATAAGTTTATATTATTAACTAAAAAATTAAAAATTTATTTGTATAAAAATTAGATGGAAAATTAGTTTTTACTTTAAAATAGCCAGACTTAAAATTTTAAAGTTAAAATTCATTAAAAAAAAAAAAAAATAATAATAAAAAATATACAAAAATTAAATAAAAAAAAATTGGTTATTGCACAATAAAAAAAAAAAAAAAAAAAAAAAAAAAAAATACACTTATTAAAATAAAGTTTTACGAAAAATTAATATATATGTATATTTCTACTTTTTATAAAGATATTATTTTTTTTTTTTTTTTTTTTTTTTTTTTAATATTTAAAGATTTAAAATCCTGATAAATCTTTATCATAGAAGTCAATTAATTTTGTATTTTTTATTTTATTATCTATAATATCTGATGGATAATTATATTTTGAATATAATTTATAATACTGTAAATGCTTAATATTTTTTTGTTGTTGATCATTTAAAGGAATAAATTTCAAAGGAGGTGTATATCCTAATTGAAGTTTTCTAGCTAATAATTTTCTTAAAATAAATGCCACTTTATATAATTTTTCTTGTATCATTTCATGGTTGACATCTTTATTTAATAATGAGTATACAATTTTGCAAACAGATCTAGTTGATTTCATTTCAAGGTGATGAATAGAAATGGATAAACCATTTAATAAATAAAATTTAAAGTATGAATTATTACAATTTAATAATTGCTCTAAATGCGTTTGTAAAAGTTTCTCCAATCTTATTTTTCTTCTATTTACGTGATATTTTATTGGGTCTAATATATGTCGAGCTACATTAGGAACTTTTTCCTTTATTATTTTAGAATTTTCTAATTTTTCCTTTCTTATTTTCATTCTTATTCTTGAAACGATTTCATCATATTGATTTTGTTCACATATTTTTTCAATTTTATGAGAAAAATTCCCTTCATTTTCATAGTAAGGCTTGATATCTTCTTTTAAAAGAAATTCATTTTCTTCTTTTTCTCTTTTTTCTTCATCTTTGCTTAATTTTAATGAGTTTATAATACTCTTAGCTTCTTTAATTGGATTAAGGATATTATTCATTTTAAACCATCTAATTTTTCTATCTAAATCGCACTTTTTAATGTATAAATTATTCATATAACTGTATTCATCATGTGTTAAATCTTGATACATACTCTTTTCTTTCAGACTTTCGTAATCAAAAATATCTTTTTTCTCACTATTACTGACATTTTTAAAATTATATTCTTCTATATCACTCATACTATTTAAAATGTCCCTTTTCGTATTTTCTTTGTTATTATCCTCATTTGAATTTGTATTATTCACTTTTTTTAAATCATTTTTATTATTGTAAATAAAATTATAATTTGTAGTCAAGGAGCTACTATTTTTCATTTTTTTTAGAAATTCTTCATGCCCATCATCTACTTGATTAATATTTATTTTTTTCATCATTTTCCTATTCATAAAATTAATTTTTAATGGATTACTATTATCTTTTTTGATATTACTAAAGTAATCACATACCCCTTCTTTTTCTAATTGATTATTATTTAAATTACATTTATTATCAAAAGTTTTTTCTAAGTTTCTATTATTTAAGTAATTATCAAAATCATTCGATACACTTTTCTCTTTATTAATTAATGTTTTTATAGATGGATTAAAAATTTTGTTTATTTCTTCTAATTTACCAGGTTCTATATAGTTCCCTTTTTTAAATAAATTTTTTTTCATATTTTCATTTATTCTACTATTATGGGGAATAGAATTTTTTATTCCAACTATATCTGAAAGGTTTTCTTCTATTTTATCATTTTCAATCATTTGGAAAAAATTTTCGTTAGGTTCGTTTAAATGTTCCTTTTTCATATTATTAATACACCAGTATAAATGCTTGCTTTCTAAATCATCATATTTTTCCTTTTTCTTACTACCTCTATACGTTCTAAAAAAAAACTTTTTTTTTTTCGAATAATTTATTATAAGCTTTTCAACTTTTATCAAAATCATTTTCCACTTTTATTAATTCTTTAAAAACACAAATAAAAGTTATTTTTATAAATATTATATCAAAAAAAATGTTTAAGAAAAAAAAAAAAAAAAAAACTAGAGTCTTTTTATATTTTTATTTTGCATTTTAGCAATGCATATTTTTCCGTTATAAATATTTTTTTTTTTTTTTTTTTTTTTTTTTTTTTTGTGAACATATTCACATTCTTGAATTATTAATTTGTGAGATATTTATAAATTTTACTTTAATTACATATTATTTTATTCACTAAAATAAAAACATATTTACTTTAATTTTTAAGTATTATAAAAATAAAAAATTGATATATTAAATATTTAGAAGATCAAAATTTAAATTTTACGTAGAATATTATTAAAAGTTGTAAAAAAGCTAATAATAAAAATATTATTTATATAAAAGGATAATTCTTATAATATTGTAGATGGAAAAAAAAAAACTATTAAGGATATTTAAATATATTTTAATTTTTCATTTCCCAATTCATATATATCAATTACTTCATTTTCTATTAATATTTCATAGATTTAAATAATAAAAATTTTAAATCAGTTAAATAAATCTTTAAGAAAATTATAAAATAGTTTATTATTTTAAATGAATTTTATATTAAAATAAATTAGTACAGTCAATTTATGAAACCAAAAAAAAAAAAAAAAAAAATGAAATAAATAATAAATTATTATTTCACACCAGAATAATTCTTTTAGAAATGTCTCAAATGAGAAAATAAAAAAAATATAAACATCCTAAAAATTAAGCAAAATTTTGTATATATATTATTCAATCAAACACTGCTATAAGAAAATTAAAATAAAATAATAAAATATGAAAAAAAAAAAATAATAAAATACATGATATACTTAAGGATGCAAACACAAATAAGTAGATAAAAAAGTAAAAGGTATTTTAATTTATATATTTGATTAAAAAAAAAAATATGTATATTCAAATGAGTAAAATAATAAAATATAAAAATATATTAATTCAAATGTGAATTTAAAGAAAAATAATATTAAATTTATTATATTAATTAAAATTCAGAATTAAAGAAAAATACATTAAAATATGTTAATTCCTAATTAAAAAATTAATATTTATAAATAAATATTCAAATATATACATATATATATATATATATAAAGGGGGATATACGTTTATTTAAAATGTAATATTAAAATAAGAACTTCATTTTATCAATTTAAATAAATTAATTATTTTGGACACTAAATGATTTAACTAATTTTATTTTTCTTATATTCCATAATGCCTTAATGTGTCTTTCTAAATCCTTTTCTATTGCATCTAATTCTTTATATTTCATATTTTTCATATAGGAATTATTTAAGAATTCTAAATCTTCTTTATCAATTATTTTAGATTTGTCAGGTATGTTGTTATTTTCGAAAAAATTTGTCCTATCTTCATTTATTACTAAACTTGTTGGTAATTTCTGCAAATTATTTTCATCCTTTTTTTCTGAGTTAAAATTATTTAATTTAATATTATTATGTATATTCATATCATAGTTATTATTATCACATAATTTAAGAGTATTAAAATTTGAAAAAATATCATAAATATCGTTATTCTCAAAAAACATATCATTACATATATTATAAGAATTTTCATTATTTGCATAATTGCTTTTTTCCTTCCAGTTATTTTTATTTTTTTTTGTTTCTTCATTGGTGTTTTTATTAGAATCCAAATTATAATACGTAATATTATTTTGCTTATGAATTTTTTCTTGTTCTAATTCTTTGTTATAATTTAGTGTATTACAATTCATGTAATTATTATTATAATTTAACTGATAATTTAAAGGATTATCATTATTTTCAATAGCATTATCAATTATTGTTTGAATATCCAAATTTGTGCAATTTTCTGAATTTTTTTCTTTTTCGTTTAAATATTTCAATAAAATATTTTTATTTATATGCATGTTATTATTTATAGGATTAATTATTATAGTATTTTGGGAATTATTTACTGTTTTATTTAAACTATTATTACCACTATTTAATATGCACATATCTAAATCTTCTTCATTACTTACTTCATCAATTTTATTAAAATGTTCTTTTAGAGATAAAGAGTTATAAATATGAGTGTTGAATAAATTATCAGATGCTGTAGTAGTAGTAGCGGTTGTTTTTGTTGTTTCAGTTGTCATGTTTTTATTTAAATGATTTTCTTCATTTATTCCATTAGAATTGTTAAAAAAGTTTTTACTTTCTTCATTCATTATTTTATTTTTTTCTTCTTTATTTTTAAATAAATCACTATTATACATAGATGGTATTTTATTATCAACCGTTTTTTTTACATATTCATTTAAAATATTATCGTCAATACACATAAGATCATAGTTATTTGATGAATTGTTTCCATCATCACAACGATTTTGCATAATGTAATTATTTGGTAAATTTTTTAATTGGGAAGTTGTACTATTATTTGCTATGTTTTTTTTATCTTGATCTAATACGGTATCTATATTATAAAAATGTTTGTTTCTATTATCAATTTTTTCATTTAATAATGTATTTTCTTTTTTATTTAAGGGAGTTTTATTAGAATCTTTATCTATTGGAGAATTATAAACACAATTAAATTTCAAGTTTTCCTTTTGTTTATTCTTTTTTAGTTGTTGTTGCGGTATTTTAGATGTCTTTGAAAAAGATGGTTTATATGGATATTTACTTTTGTTGTCAATAGTATCTGAATTTAAGATATTACTATCTGTTCCATTAAAAGCAATATTAGACTTATTTACATTATTATTTGATTTATTATTATAATCTAAATTATTTTTCATTGTATTAAGACTGTTTGCTATATTTTTATTTAATACATTATTTATTGGATTTTTTGTTAATTTATTGTGTAAATTTAAAGCTTTATTTAATTTATATTCCTCTGAATTATTAGAATTCATGGATAAATTATCTGGTATTAAAAATTGACCTGTTTTTTTGAACTGAATTTTTAATTTTTTAAAATTAATGTTGATAGATCGTTGAACAAGTTGAAATGTAGAATTAAGATTAGATAACTCAACAAATGCATACCCATCTTGTCTATCAATATTAACTACATATCCATTATCTAAGTGTAAATTAATTGTATCTCTTAATTGCATATTTGTGATATCGTCACTTAAGTTGGAAACATAAACACTTCTACCATAAGAATTATCTGGTCTTGTACTAATATCAAATCTAGGGCCAATATTAACTCTTTCTTCATTATTTCTAGAATTTTTATTTAATTTATTAGGGCTATTTTTTTCTTCTTTTAATGAATTTTTTTCATTTTGTATTCTTGCTTTTTTTAAACAATCCATTATAGAAATACCAACGTGATATTTTAAACAAAATCGACATTTCATAGGACAGTCATTTCCTCTGTGAGATATATTATGACAATTGGGACATACAAAAGAATTATTAGGACATAAAGGCATAGGGTGATCTAATGAATCACAGCTCAAACATAATCTTCCTTGCATAAATGCTTCTAACATTTGTGAATTATTTAATATTACAGGTCTTTCCACACACATATTTTCATTTAGATTTTTTTTTTGAGTATTCGAATCAAAATTTTCTTTTATATTAGCCATGTTATTACGAATATTATGATACATATCATTTCCTGTTACTTTATTTAAAGAATTATTTATATTAGATTTATTTGAAGGAATTACTGCAGTATTTTTATTTAAATTTGTATTATTCACATTTGTTTTGATAATAGAATTATTCTGATTTATATAGGATTTATTAATTAATGTATTTTTTATATCATTCATGTATGATGTGTTTATTAAGTTATTTATATATGATTTATTTAATAAATTGACATTCAAATCATTTAAATTATATTTATTCATTAAACTGCTATTTATATCATTTATTGTTGATTTATTTAATGAGTTACTATTTATGTATGTTTGTATATTACCTAAATAATTTTCTGTATTGTTCATTGTGCAATTATTTTGTGTATTTTTCATTTTTAAAAAATTTGTATTTTCATTTGTTTTATTTTTATTTATGTTTATGGTATTTTTAGAATCGTTTAATGACTCATTAAGCAAAGATTCATTGTTCGTATCATATTTGTCACTAAGCATATTATACATGTTATTTTTTAATATATTTAATGTATTGTTTAAATTAATTAGATCATTTCCACTTTTTTCTTCTACATTTATCTTATTATTACTTATTCCATTAAAAAGTATATAATCCTCATCTAATGAAATACTACTTTCATTAAGAAGTTTATCTATTTCATCATTAGAAACATTATTTTTTAAAATGTTTAAGTTATCTGAAGCATTTCCTTTGTTACTTGAATAATTCTTAAAAATATTCAAATTGTTTTTATTACTTACATTGCTTTTAATTACCACAGGGTTATTAATAATGTTTTTCGAAAAATTATTATTATTCATTTCTGTATTATTTTTAAAATTTGTGTTACTAATATTATTACTTATACCAAAATGCATATTTTTTGATTTTGGGTCATTTTTATTATTTCTAAAATTATTTTTACTCTCGTTTTTGTTATTCATATTTTTATTAACATTATTTCTATTTTTATTATTTTTTTTATTTATATTTTTGCTTCGGTTATTCTTGTTATTTTTGCTATTATTATTATCGTCCTCTTCATTGTAATTTTCATTATTTTCGTTTTCATTATTATTATAGTCAATATTTTGATTATTAATATGATCTTTATTTTCATTGTTATTATTATTATTATTGTTATTGTTATAATTATCATTATTAATATCACTGTTATTATCATTATCATAATCATTACTATATTTTTCATTATCACTATCATTATTATCATCATTATACTTATTGTTATCATTGTCCTTATCGTTATTATTATCATTGTCTTTATCGTTATTGTTATTATCCTTATCGTTATTGTTATTATCCTTATTATTATTATTATTATCCTTATCGTTATTGTTACTATCATTATTCTTATTGTTATTATTATCATTATCCTTATCGTTATTATGGTCATTATCCTTATCGTTATTGTTATTATCATTATCCTTATTATTATTATTATAATTATCCTTATTGTTATTGTTGTCATTATCCTTATCGTTATGGTTATTATTATTATCCTTATTGTTATTATCATTATCCTTATTGTTATTATCATTATTATTATTATTATTATTATTATTATTATTATTACTTCTGTTATCAGTATTATCATCCTTACTATAATTATGATTTTTTATTTCATTAGTATTATTATTATTATTATTATTGTCATCAGTATTATCATCTTTACTATAATTATGATTTTCTATTTCATTATTATTATTTATATCATTGATACTCTTATTATTACTGTTTTTATAATCAGTATTATCTCTAATTTGATTTTTATTATTAGTAACATTATTGTCTAAATTATCATTCTTATAATTACTTTTACTTGAATTTAAAATTATTTTATTTTCAACAATTTTAATTACTTTATCAAAATTTTTATTTAAACATGTTTTATATTTATCATTTGTTGTGTTCATTTTTTCATTTTTTTCAGAATTGTTGGAACATTTTATAATGTTATTTATGTTTATATCTAATTTATTGTTAGAACTATTTGTTGGCGAATCAAAATTATATAAAAAATTTGCATTTTCTATTTTACACATTTGTCCATTTCTTTTTTGTATATTTAAGCTATTAAATATATTTGTACTTTTGTTTTCATCTTCTATATTTGTGCTAATATTATCATAATTTATTTTATTATTTTCATTTAAAATATATGATATATCACTATTAAAACTATTTAAATTTCTTTCTTTAAGGTAAAAATTATTATTATTTCCATTAAAATTATTTATTTTATTGTTTTTAATGTCATAATTATTATTACAATATTTATTGTTAATATTTATATTATTATCAAAAATACTACTACTAATGTTATTATTAACAATACTGTTACTATCATCCTTATTTACATTATTTATAACATTATAATTTATAGAATCAATATTATCATTATTCATAATATTATTGCTAATTATAATATTTTCATTATTATTTAAATCATTTTTATTAGTTAATATATTTATATTGTCTTTTCCATTATTTGTTCTAGAATTATTTAGAATATTACTCATTCTATTTTTATTATTCAGAGTATTATTGATTATGTTATCGATGATAATATTATTTATGTTGTTAATATTATGGTTATTGTTACTATTATTATTATATGTATTAATATTACTAATTCCATTATTATTTTTATTTTGTACAATATTTCTTTTATTTACTTTGTTATCCAATGAATTATTATTTTTTTCATTTATAATTGATCCCTTTTTAATATCATTATTTACGTGTAATTCATTTATAACTTTTTCTAAAAACAAATCATCTTTATTTTGATCAACTAAATTATATAAAATTATTTTATTTTTTTCATTTACAGAATTTTCCTCATCAATATTTGTGTTAATATTATTTTCTTCGCTTGTACAAAATAATAAATCTTCATCATTTGTTAATTCATTATTTAAATAATAAAAATTCTGATCATAAAAATTTTTAGCTATAGTAATTTTATTCATTTTTTCTTCTTTATTAAAGAGCTGATAATCTTAAAAGAAATATATATTAAAATTTGTTTTTTTATATCTAATAAAATCATACTATTCTATGATTAAAAAAAAAATTTTTGCTTTACTTATTTTAAGTTACTACTAAATTCTTATTCATTATATAAATTAAGATAAAAAATAGAAAAGTAAAAATATATATAAAAAAATTCATTTAATGAAGGTTAAATTTATGGACAATTTTTAATGTTTTTCTATATATACATTTATTTGTTTATATTTATGGCATAATTATATGTAGATAAAAAAAAATTAATTATTACAAAATATTAGGAAATAAGAAAAAAAAAAAAAAAAAAATTAATATATAATAAAAATGCATTTACATATATATATGTTGTTATTTTATTACTACTTATCTCTTTTAATTATTTCCTGTGTTTTTTTTTTTTTTTTTTTTTATTTTATTTATTATATATAATTATATGAATGTATTTTTTTCATACTAGACAACATTCGTTTTCATTTTTTTTTTTTTTTTTTTTTTATTATGAATAATAGTTTTTAATTTACAACACGTAACTTTATTAATTATGTAAAAAATAAAATAATTCAAAATTGATAAATAACTTCAAATTAAGTTAAAAATTATAATAAAAATATGGTTACAGGATAAATTATAAATACATTTTAAACCCAATATATATAAATAAATATATATAAATGTAAGTAAATGTGTAAAAAAGATATAATTAAAATATTGGAGATAGATAAATTATTACGTAGAACAAAAATGATATTATCTATACAAATTGTTACTTTCAAAAAAAAAATAAAATAAAATAAAATAAAACGTAAATGAAGCTATATTTAAAAATAAGAATAAAATAATTTTTATATAACTTATCAGTTCTAAATTATAATTAAAAATAAATTTGTGTGTTGTATTTACACATAAAAAATATATATACATATATATACAGTATTATAAAATAAAATCATTTAAATATAACTAAAATTCCTTAAAAGTAAATTTGTTCCAAATTTTTTTTTCTCAGTTTCTATTTCATTCTTTTTAATTTAAAGTAACAATTAAACAAAATAAAAAGTAATAAATAATTAAAAAAAAAATATGTTTTTTTTTAAAGTTAATTATTATGTTATTAAAGTACAATAATAATAAAAAAAAAAAAATATGTATTTATATGCTTAAAAATGAATAGATATGATAAAAAAAAAAAAAGAAAATTACTCAAACAAAAATAATTGACATATATAAAATAGCCATAAAAAATAACTATTCAAAAAAGGTGAAATGAATCAAATTATTCAAGTAAAATAAAAAATTCATAATAATATAAAACTTTAAAAAAAATAGTTGTATAAATACTATTTTTAAATAAAAATGTCTTACATTTTTCTTATATAAAATATTATCTATATCTTATTAATTATTTTCAAAAATAGATAAAATATAAATTATGGTGTAAATTATTAAAGCTAAACACATTTATCGTATAATAAATATATAACTATTACATAATTAGTACATGCTAATAAACGAAATAAAAAAATAATTTAGTATTTTAAATATACATAAATGTATTTTTATCAAGAAATAGAAAAAAAAAAAAAAAAAGAAAAATAAAAGGGATAATAACAAAAAAAAACTTTTATGAATGAAATATCAAACTTGTATTATTTACACAATGCAAAAATAAAAATATCTAATAACTATTTTAATATTATGAATTAATCTAAATTGATAGATTTAATCTAGGTATTATTCTTAAACAAAATTATGAAATATATAAAAAATGTTGAAACCCAAAAAAAATGGACAAAAAAAAAATTTTTTTGCATGAAAATTAGAAACTTCAAGTTTATTTTTTTAATAAATAATAAAGATGAAATTAAAAAAAAAAAAAAAAAAAAAAAAAAAAAAAAAAAAAAAAAAAAAAAAAAAAAAAATTAAAAAAAAAAAAAAA